AGAGAGGGGGGGGGGGGGGGGGGGGGTCACAGCATCACCATAATGACCACATCGGTGACCATTAGTATGCAGTTAATCACAGCGTTACAGCCCAAGTAATATACTAGTACAATCTGATTAAGATCACTGTTGACCATCACTAATTACTCTCATGGGTACATTGTGTGGTTCAATAGGTTAACCCTCTGGGGTCTAAGGGTAGGGAACACACATTTCATTCAATACCATAAACTTAATTCATGGCAAATAAATTATTTCTTATATATATTTGTTTTGGCATTACACATAATTTTAATGTATATTGTAAATATGTCAGATTTACGTTAAGTTTGCAATTTGACATCAAAGTATAGACATTGCAAAATGCAGTTTGGAACACTTGCAGAAACATTATAAAAGTACATAGTAAGCAATGCTGGCAGTTTGTTTTGATCCCAGATATCTGATCACCAAAGTCTTGGCTACATGAAGATGACTAAGTGGTGTAGTTACAACATTCAGTTGGATAAATAAATAAGAAAAACCTCATGTCGCTATTTCTGGCCTCCTTCAATCGAATATGTAGCAACTTTTATGTGTATGCATGAGCCATTCACACCTGGCCACTCCCCCCCCCCTTGTATGGTGCTGATGGGGATGTATCTGCTATTTACAGCGGTACTGCGGCTATTCACAGCGGTACTGCGGCTATTTACAGCGGTACTGCGGCTATTTACAGCGGTACTGCACGCCCTCGATGCAGGTAAAACAAAGAAAGGTGACAGGGTTTACTTTTTTGCCTATTTAACCTAATTTTAAAAACTTTAATACTTCTGACAATGGACATTTTGAAAAGATAGATAGATTACGGATTTAGTCAGCATTTTTTTCATGATTCTACATAAAGATTTCAGCGAGATAAACTGAAATACATGAGAAAGGAACGCGGCATCGCCGACGATGCCCTCGTCCCCAGAGGGTTAAGGATTGCAGTGTCCAGCAGAGAGATGACATCACTGGAGCTGCTCTGGGTGCTGGATACTGGCTGAGCATAAGTGCTAACATTCCTCACAAATCTGTACCAAATAACTAACAGGTGAGATGCTCAATGAGGCCTAAAACAGACATGAGTCACATGATCACATGGCCTCGACACAAGCCTACTCAACGCGACCTGAACGTCACACCGTACCTGGGAGCTCTGCTCCACTTGTGTGATGACCTCTGGGTCCAGTGGCCGGTGGTTGCTGAAGCTCTTGGAGCGCCCTGCGGTGGCCGCCTTGCGGAACTGTGGGCTCTCTGCTTTGGTCTTCAGGGAGGAATGGCGGGTGATGGAGTTCAGGCTGCTGTGTGCACTGATGGGCCGCTTGTCGGGCCCCTCCCGCAGCGCCCCCCCTAGTGGCAGGGAGGCAGTCCTGCTGCCTGCAGGGGTTGCCTGGCAACTCTCCGAGAGCCCCTCTGTTGTCCGGAACGTCCGGCGGAGACCCCCAGGTTCCGGTCGCTTCCTCATCCTGAGGAGAACATGGACAGTCAGTGAGAACCGTGGCCAGCAACATACTGGGCATGCTCCCCACGGACCAATCGGCATGTGTGCCCCTTTGCAATCGACCAATCAAAAACATCCACCGAGCAACAGGAGCCAGCTTTGCCAACTGTAATTTATAGTGCCCTTCCTAGCATGCATACTTTAAACAGAATCCAGTAACAGCATCACATGCAGACTATTCAAATAGCAAGGTCACCAAGCACGAAGCGAAGTTACCAGCCTCTTACTTGTTGAGGTTAGCCAGGTATATATCAGCCACGTGGCCGCCAGTTGGTGAGCTCAGGCTCCCCCTGGTGGACACCTTCTCCTCCAGTGGCATCGCATCTGCTGCCAACTCAGCGTCGGCTTTTGGGCTTCCTCTCCCGGCGACGCCGTCTTCCCTGGGGGGAGGGGGGTGCATGATTACAGTGACCGGGTAGGAAAAGCAGCTGCTGTTTCAGCAAAGTCAAAACCACATTGCCAGAAAGCTACAGGAAAAAGTGACTGCAGGTAATGACACGGCTGCGTTGGACATGTGGAAGAGAAGATGGGTGAGGGCTACAGATCTAAGGCTGTGCTCAGTGAGGCCTGTCTGACTGCAGACGGGTTTGGGGACAGAATGTCGGCATGGGACCTGGCAGGGCAGGGCGTTCACTCTGATACCTCTACTCAAAGGTACATAGTGAAGCATCATGCTGGAAAGAAGGAGAGACCGTGCTGTTTACGTGTGACAAGAGCTGTTTAAACAGGATAGAATAAGTTGAAACAAGCTAGGCACTGAAAGCCAGTGACGGGCAAAACTGCACATTCACTGCCTGAAACAGGGTCACCACGCCCAAGCTCCAACTGTGTGTACACCTCCGTGCCACTAGGGGGCGGCCTTACATGTCCTGGACCACGACGTATTGGTGCGGCACGAGGCCGTCGATGCCGTTGTGCCGGCCCGCCCACCAGTCACTGGAGGCGCGGTGGAAGAGCAGCAGGGAGGCGCCCTTCTTGAAGGAGAGCTCTCGGTCGGTGCGGCCCGTGTAGTCGAAGCGGGCGATGGCCTCCACGGGCTCGGACTCTGAAACGAGGGAGTGGCCTGCGCTTAGCCGGGGGGGAGGGGGTGAATGGGGGGGAGAGAGGAGGAGAGATGTTAAGCGCGAAGCAGCCGTCAGCGTGAGGCAGGGTGTGTTACTTCCAAAGCGGGGTGTGTGAGCACAGAGGCGGGGCTTGGTGACATCAGACAGGGCGTGTTGTTAATGGGGAAACAGGGAGTGTCAGTGCTGAAGTGAAGCCAGCCTGCAAACTGCCCAAAAAGTCAAAGGACAGCATTTAGGAGAAAGACAGTCAAGCAGAGATCCTCTCAGATGCCAGAGCGATAATCTCAGATACCAGAAAGATACTCTGATATACTCAAACGCCTGAGCAGTAATCTCAGGCACCAAAGAGAAACACTCTGATACTCTCAGACGCCAGAGAGATGTACCCAAAATAGCTGGACCAGAAATACACGGTGGTCATATAATATTATGAATTCAAATATAAAATTGCATGTTTCACTATTCAGTGATAAACAAGCAACTGTCAATAAGCCCCCCCCCCCACGTTCTCGCTTACCATCATCGCTGTTCTGCAGCTGAGAAGAGGCGTCAGGGGCAGGCTCGTCCACCACGGGGGGTTCTCCATGGGGACTGTCACTGCAGGACACACACCAGGAGTCAGGACCATGGGGTCACAGTGCAATTTCCTGCCTGAAGCTCCCGGACCGTTCAGAGTTTAGCGGCCGGGAAAAAAACGTATACATCTGCCAGGCAGCACAGGTAGCACCCCCCAGCCGCACTACAGATGAGCACAGTGCATTCTGGGAGCAGTCCTGAACCCCAAGACTCCGCGATCCTGTTGTGTTCAAACAGCTACATGTACACTTACACCCTCTTTGAAGTGTAAAGGAACAAAAAAAAAAAAAAGGAATAAGAACATCAAAAGGGCTGGAGGACCATGGCGGGGCGCAGGAGGGGGGGGGGCTGTAGGCCAGGGCCAAAGGGGCAGCATGCAGGGGGAGGGAACAAACAAGCCCAGAGCCGCCGCCCTCCATTGATTCGGCACCCTGAGCAGCTCCCTGTAAGGCCGGCTGCCTTTCCTACCACTCACTCTGTTTTAGAGACGGTACCGGAAACTGGAGAACGATGGCACTCTGTGCCGTTACAAT